AAAGTCATTCATCTGCTTCTATCTATGAGGCTATTCCTTTTATCAGTGTTTTGAACTGTGCTGTGATATAGTTTCAGTAGACCAGTGCCACAATAATCTTTGGTCACACTTATTCAGAAGGTTTAAAGGAAGAGAAGAATAAGAGCAACAACTGTCTCATTCTTTTATATTGCTAATATGAGGATAGTATAGTTGAGAAACAGGCTGTTTATAAACTACCAGAAATCTAAAATAATGATTCTCAATCAGAAACCAAAACAGTGGGCTTGGATAATTGAGAAGAATTGAAAAAAAAAATCAAACATTACTTTAAATATCTGAGCTATGTCTTCCATGAACAGAGAATCCAGAAAAGCCCACCTTGAGCATCTTAGGCAAATGTCATCAAAATCTACAATGGCCATCAAAAGATTCTTCTACTCCCAAGGAGATAAACTGATACCAAGAGCCCTGAAGCTTTTTGAAACTAAAACTCAGCCCAGATTTGAATAGTTGCTAAAACAAATTTCCTTTGGAAATAGACTGAGAAATGCCACTTGAATTTAGCAAAGAAACAGTGACCCCTGCTGGTCATTGTAGTTATCTGTGAAGATTAAAATGAAGCATTTATCAGAGGCTATATTTGAAATCACCAGTACAAAGAGCTACAAGTGGTAACTAGCAATTAATTCAAGTGAATAAAATATTTAAAGAAAAAGACACTTCTGTTTAAAAAGCCAATTTAAATAGTCAATCAGATAAGAATTTTATGAAACTCAAAAGAATATTGTCCTTAATAGATAACTTGGTAAATAAAAGAATACCGAAAACTTAAGGCATACTTCAGGAAGCTAACTTAAATATTTTGGGTGTTATTTTTTACATTCAGATGTTGCAATAGAAAAGGCCTCTAAGACAAGACATTGCATCTAGCCCAACCTGCAAGGACAGTCTGCTGCTGACATCCACTGGCTGATTGTATTGCTACAGAGCAGTCAAATGCCACACACATTGCTGCAACCATTAGTTTAATAATTATGCTATAACTATTAAGGATCTGTTACATTTGGATCATTTGTTTCATATCAATATTTTTCCTTTGAATGTAATGTAATAATTAAGTTAGAAAGTTTGTGTCCAAGTTTAAGCGTATTTGTTGTACTAAGCAGTGGAACTCTGGCAAGAAAATTGTTTTCAGCTAGGATACAACAGGGTAATATTTGCTGGAGAAGAGGAAGCTGTGGCATGCACCTCCATACAAAAGGGAACAAGTGGCCTTCAATCGGAGAGCAGCTTTCTATTAAGACTCACTCCTTCGTACATTATGCCTTTCATCCCCACTCAACCACAAAATGATTTTGCTGCTGGACTCACAATGGTGGAAAAGATTTACATTGAAAGAATCTTTAATAATAAACTGTTGCAGGTCTGCCTACTTCCCCCACAATTTATAATACAATAAACATTGAATTCTATTAAGTCTCATGCACTGAAGTTGCGCTGGAAAAAAAAGAATATGAAAGCACTCAATTCTTCCCATCTCCAGTGCCATAATAGTGAAATGAGCATGGATAAATGTGCTAAGAGTATCTCTTTGCATCTTTTATAGCTTGTGTGTATTAATCTGTAAAGCTTATTAAGAAAGTCATTGCTATGCAAAGCAGCACCCAATCTCTTTTACTTGCTTTTCAACAGAGTGCAGTGTTTAGCCAATAGGACTTGTCCACTGCCCCTCATTCTGTATTCATAACATGCAACATTTGCACAATGTATCTCTCAAAGACTGCTGAATAAAAGCCTTAATACTCATGTAAACAACTGCAAACCAATTACTTAATGAATCAGGTCCACGCATAATGAGGTGCCAGACAAAGAGCTATAAATGCATTTTTGCGCCCAAGCCCCTGCTTTAACGTAAAATCCCTCAGCTGTAGTTTGGGCTTAACTAGCACATCATAATTATTGTCTGTAGGACATCAGTGGAAGCCATTTTTTAAAAAAATTAGGTCCATCAGGGTATTTCACGAATCGCTCATCAGCTCAGTGACTAAACACTATGGGAGGGTGGGTGGGTGTGAATTAAACGTACACAGCGGTACTAGACTGTTATGTTTATTTTCAAATACTGGTTTTCAAGACCACTTGTAATAGCACGAAGGTGCAAGAAGTAACAATAAGTGGAATCTTTAGACATCAGCCTGCAAGAGATTTCTCTGTATCCATACTGCAAATAAATACATGAGCCTTATCCCTTCTTTCACACTTGATTTGTACTTTATTTGTAACACCTTTATAAGAGAAGCAGCCAATATATTTACCAATTACTTAATCAATGTGGTTTTAAAAGACCTTTCCTTATAGAGAAAATTAAAATGCAAGTGTTTTTAAAAACTAGTTAATTACTAACTCATGTTATACTGTGCAATGAATTTTTCCCTATTAGAATAAGAATGTTCCTTGCTTCCTTATGCTAGAGAGCATGCATTATATGAACAGTAATTTAATAAGTATAAGAAAGTGCTTGTTCATATTATAATTCAAAGCATGTTTCCAGAACATTTTTAAAACTGTTGATAGTGTTTACAACATGTTTATTCTTTTTATATAGCAAACAGTATTTGAAGATATTTCTTTGGCTTATTATTCCTTCAAATAGCAATAACGTATGAAATGAAAATATAACCAATATATTTTAACAAATTAATTTCATAAAGTATTATTCTCCAACTTCCTGAAAATCAGATCTGAAAATAATTGCACTGTACAGTGTATAAAGTGCATTGCTATTTATTCTATAGGCTGCTTAATTAATTTTATTCCATGACTATATAGTACCAATTTTACCTAATTATAGTTAAAATAAAAAAACGTTATAAATGTTACTAAGTAGGGACAGGCATATTATTGTATAACATAATCAAAAAGATCAGCAAATACAAATGAGACTTTCAAACAGAGCAGCACAATCAGGCTATGGAAGTGTGTTGACAATTATTATGTAACAATCTAAAGCCAATTTAAAATTCCAGAATTATTTACTATGCTTCATTTACTTATACCTCTTGATTGCTAGCAATTTGAATCATGCTGCTGATAGAAAAAAGTGTAACACAAAATCACCCAAAGAACCCGTGTGTGTGTGTGTGAGGGGGGGAGTAGATAAATTGCATCTCTTTAGAAAAAACAAGGGCATTAATTAAATGCTCTCAATTTGAAATTACAAAACAAAAAACCAAAACCAGATAATCTAGCATTTTAGTGAATATGAAAACAGGAATTGAGCTGAAGTTCATTTACATCTCAACTCTGTCCAGGAGATGACGCACCATTTTATTTCTTGAAGACTTTATGTTTTATGTCTGCCCTTTTCTTGACAACTTCCATTGTCTAGTCTCTAAGTAGTCCTACTGAGAGCAGCTGTACATACTAATCTGTGGTTCACTGAGATGTCAATGGAGTCTTAAAATAACAGCTGCAAAACAATACCTGGCTTCAGTACAAATATTTTCTAAGGTGTTCTTGTCTTTAATGATATTATTTTAGAAACACGAATCTGAACTGTAGCCCAGAGATCAAAATATTGTTGTCAGGATACCATGAAATTCCCAGAGGCATTTCTTAGAAATAGTTGAAACAATTCACTAATGAAACACTTTAACGATTTTACCTTGACAAAGAGCTTTTCCTCTCCAGAGATGAAAAACTGGGCTCAGAACTGGTTCCATTACTTTTTTCTTCCTTTAAGCCATTGATGTTCAAACCTGAAAGATAAAAACCAAATACTTCATTAGTTGTTGGCTAAAATAAATGAGAAATTATAATCCTGCACTATAACTTCTGGTCTGAAGAACCCATAATAATAAATGTCGTGTAGCAATTTTTTTAAAAAAAATACATTTAAATTTTACAGCGTGTTATTAATAAACATAGTTCCCTTTAGTACATCTAGGCAATTTAATGATTCCTACAAATAATGTGCCTACATTTTCCACTACCACTGTTTATACTTTATCAGAATACTATATAATGGTAGAAAGTAAGGCAGAAGTTTTAATAGTGTTTTTATAAGAGCTTATTTTCTTGTTAACAAAGTATTATAACATTTGTGTTTTCTTTAAAATAATGATTTTTCATCCTTAAGTTTTCCTAGAATTTATTCTTTATATTAATGTTTGATACTTATTTTCAGATGCAGAAATGGTCTTAAATCTGGATTGATAGACATTTGTGGTAATTTAATACCCAGCATTGGTTAGGCTGTAATAAACAAATTTGCACATAATAGTAGAAAACAAATCACAAATATTAAATAAACAGGAACCTAAATACAGAACTTAGTGTTATAATGTATGTCTTCTAAATAGTGGACATAATATTGTAATTTGGTTTAACATTATATATTGTCAGGTCCTTATATATTACATCATATACAGTCAGCGAGAAGACACATAAAGATTGAAAAACCAAAGAAGTTATCAATCAAATACCATTCATAGCACTATGTATTATTACTATAATTAGTAATTAAATTAATACTATAATTATACTATATAGCAATATTATATATGAAACCAGAAGTTAAAAATTTCAAAATACTTATATTCTATATAATTATGTAATTATATTTGTTGGAGTTTTCCTAGCTTTTATAATTTGCCAGAATAATACAAGTAGCACTGGTATTTCTTTTAAATCATCTACCCACTGAGGCAGCTGCCAGCATAGTATTCTCTCCATTTGCAAACCCTGCAATATGATAGATTTGCTATCTGGTACCGAATTGCCAAATATACTGAACCAGATCTCAAAATATGTGAAAGTCAAAATGGAATTTCCTCAATGTGGTTCCCCCTCACCCTGCCGTGAGTTTTAGTTGCTTAACATACATGAATTCTTTGTGTAGTTTCTTTAATACACTCCAGAGTGGTCCCAAAGTTTTGCTGAGCATATGTGTTGGATGTGACAGTTTTAAGTCTCAAATTAGTTTTATGATTAATACTAATTATGATCCTAATACTAACTGTATGTCCTCATTTTATTGAATAAGGTACCCTTTTGTCTAATTCTCTTGCCATACATTAAAATTTATAATTTTTTGATTGCCACAGCAGAAGATTATATATATATATATATATATATATANTGATTGGAGTAAATGCCCACCTCTACTCCATTTATTCATCCCCCCAGGTCTTCCTTTGCCACTTCTGTATAGCCACAATTGTTATACATTCTGATGCCACAGTTGTAGTAACTTGTTTATGTTAGGAGGAATGATATGGCACAAACAGGTAAGAGTCCGATTCTAGTCACAGACTTCCAATTAGAGTTAAACAAATTACTGCAGAAAAATCTCTCATAATCAAAAATTAGCTCTTCAATGTTCTACAATAAACCATTTGTCAATTTGTTTTATGAGTTTTTAACCTTAAATAGTGTAGGCACAAACTGCATAGCTGAGTTCAAAACTGTTCATTTTCATAGGAAGCTTGATAGATGTCTACGGTACTTTTTCCACAGCTACAAGTAAGCAGCATGCCACAATGCCACATAAACCCATTTTATATACAAGGTTTACGAGTTCTTCATTAATGAAACACAGAATACCTTGTCAATCTTCAAAAGCTGATTTTATCACTTTGTCTTATGGATTTTTACTCAATTTACATAAATCCTAGTTGGAGCAGCTAAACAAATCCAGAAATAAAAAGGGCTTGAATAAGGAATTGATTTCTACTCAAACCACTCAAAAGGAAGAAGTATCTCCCTACCATGCTTTTCAATAAAGAACATTATTTCATAATGTATTCTATTGTTAAAAATATCTTTCCTTTATGAATTACTCCACTTTTTATAAAATTCTATAGTTGTGCTATGTGAAGAAATACTCATTTTGACAGTTTTGAATCTTCTACTATTAATACACAATCCACAAGCAAAAATACAAAAAGCAGATGCTTATTTACCTTCATGGACCTCATCTACCCCTTTTGCAAGGCCCCAAAGTAAAACAAGCCAACATTTAGATATGGTGGGAGGGAGGGGGCTTGTTTTTGTTTTGGTTAAGTGTGGGGAGAAAAATGAAAATATTACTAATTTTCAAATCTTTGAATGATCTACCAAAACATGCCAGTATGTTTCAATAGGGGAAAAAATGGTAAGTGAGCACCTGTCCACCCTAGATAAGTTCAAATCACCAGAACCAAATGGATTACACCCCAAGATTCTGAAGGAACTGGCAGATGAGATCTCAGAACCACTGAACTATATCTTTCAAAGATCCTGAAGCACCAGGCAACTGCGA